GCATTGGTGAATGTTCCCAGTGTGATGAATGAAAAGTGATGTGTCACTCAGTCTGAGCAAATCCATATTAACGCAGCTCTATTTACACCTTTACTCAAGGCCATGGTTTTCTATACTTCCACTGGAGTATGTATAGATGTGAGGCTATCCTTTCCTGCTCTGCATTGGACCTTTGGGGTCAAAGCAACAGGGAGAGAGAAGAGGAGTGCCAGGAATGAATGGGTAGAGCCTTGGCCTCTCCCACTCAGCATATCAACTAGCAAAACTGAGTCATCTTGGAGAAAAAGTGATCTCTGCCAATACATGGAGATCACTAGCAGATTAGTTCCACTTGAGAGCAAGAATGGAACCATGAAGGGAAATGCAGTTCTCCAAAGTCCCTCCTCAGTCCTGTACTGCTGGCTCAGTACAATAGATTGCATGGGGGCAGTCTTTCCCTCAAGTAATTTAAGTTACCTAACATGTATTTCATTCTTAGCCAGTTTTGTAATAAAGTACCATGCACAGATACTCTACCTGCTTGACTAAGTTTTGTTTTGTTTTCTCTTGCATTTGATTTGCAAAAGATGTTTCAAGCCCGCTGAAGCTTCATCGAACAGACACTTTCCCCACCTACAGATCAGAGCATCGATAAAAGATTGCAAAGCACTTAAAACTCTTTGTCTTGTGACAGACTGCCCCGGTGGATAATAATGATGATGGCAAGCAGGAAAGCAAAGTGGAATTACTGGGGGAAAAAAATCAGCTTGGATTAAGAAGTCCTGCAATACAATATATTTTATTTTTTACTTTGGCAAAAGTGAAATCTGTTCTGCAGATCTTTAAAAAAGAAATGACTCCAATGTTTGTTTCATATTTTACATCTGAACAGAAAGGAAATTGACCCCTTAAATATGACTTGATGTTTTTGTATGATAGATATCAGTTGTAAATATATTAACTTGTCCTCTGATGTGGAGCACTGTGATTTCACTTTGTCTAATTCAGCTGTGAGGTGATGTCAACTGTGTCAGCAATCCCATGGTTCATGTTTGGTGTAGCTCTTACTCTTTCTTTACTAACATAATTGTTCAGACCAATCCTTGACCTTTGAGAAATGGTGGCCAGTTTTATGCGGCAGTTAAATCTATTCTTCCTGTGTACAGAGTCTGTAGAAGACTTGGTTGACTTTTAAAGGACATTGTCAAGTGTCTTATTTTTCATATGTTTGCTTCCAGCTCTGGTGGCTAGAAATAAAACATTTTTTCTCACCATTTTTGTGCTTTTTCATGTGAATGCCAGCATTGGCAGTACAGTGATTTCAGGAAACTGTGCATGGCCATAGTCAATAATAAGTTAGCAGAAGGAAGTAAATGGGAAAGTGGGTTATTTTGGGTCCTCTTGAAACAAAAGCAAGAAACCCTTATAATAGCTTAGAAGGTATGGTATTTTTTTTTAGAGAAGAGAATAGGAACTTCCACAAGATTTCCTACTTGAGCTTCAAATAAGTTTTGAAAATGGCCCCATTTTTGCCTCTTTACTGTACTTGACAGTGAGTCTTGCCTGGATATGATACCAGAATGTTAATTCTGACATACATTTTATGTAATGATTGGTGTGTGCAATCTGTATCGGATGGATTGGATAGCTTTATGGGTGTTAAATATGGAAGGAATCTTAAAAGGGGCTAGTTACGATTATCCTGGTATTGTACAAATGAGGAATGTATATATAGTGTTACTGGGTTAAGAATAATTTTAAAAACTGTGCTAGAAGTCAGTGCCAGGGGTGAAGCACTGAGATAGTCAAACTGATCTCACTGCGAATATATTTACTTCTGTTCACTAAACTATGGACCAGAGCTTATTTAGGAGGAGATCTGGTTCTGATTCTCAATACAATATGCTGATATATGCACATAATTTGAAAAGAATATAATGTAGTTCCCTGGTTAGTAGGGTAAGCCACCCTATGATTGGCAGCTAATATTTTAAATTGTTTCAAGGAGAAAGAGAGAGGAAAAAATATTTATTACCTGTTTTAATATCATTGGTCATGACAGTTGGTAGATCCTCAAGGGTTGATTGTGATACTATCAGTATAATACACATTTGTATGAATGTGTAACTCCATGAAACTCCATGTTATGTCTTGGATTTTTGTTCCTTTTGAAATAAACCTGTTTTCTTTCATGCAAATAACTGAATCCTTTTCTGGTGTGTACAATGGATTCAGACAGAAGAACAATTCTACTCTGATACAGAAAATGGTGTGTGTCTTTAGCTTGAACTCTGCTCAAAGTCACTTGTGAAATGTCCCATACTTGGATCTGCAAGAAGCACTCACTCGAGTAGTGATAGATCCATATGTGCCCGAGTCAGGTGGATTCAGCAGGAACATGCCATTTTATTTAAGTATGATTACAGAGCTAATGCTCTTTACTGTGGTATGTCCTGAAATGTAAGATGGTGATATTCATAAAATCCATTTAAAAAAAAAAATCAAGTAACCATAGAATGATGGTTTTATTTGAATTTTAAAACAGGAAGACCTAAAGCTACGGTAATTGCCTCTTCCCATATCTGTCAGAAGCCAGAGCTGTCTTTACTATTTGAAATCTGTTGGTTAAATAAAGAGTCTCTTCCTTCTAGAGCTAAAAAGAGTTCTTTGTTTGCAAATCCAGAGCCAAGGGTCCGTCAGATATTGATTCCCATCAGCCAGCTCTCACAAAAATGATCAAGTTTGGGTCCAGGTCTGTTTATAAATCATGGTAAGATGGAAGACATGGTTTGGGCTGGTCACAGGATGGTAACAATCTGAGCATTGTCTTTCAGAAACATCAACCTTCTGATAAATGAATTTGATGATTCTCCTATCCCATTGTGGAATTTGTGGACTCACCACTGCAGCATCTGTGCCCCTGTCTCTCTAGCCATGAGTGATGAATATTTTTCACTGAAAGTTTTGTGTTCTAGGAAAATACTGAACTTTCCAATATAGTAAAGGAAAGTGTGAGCTCCTGTAAGAAATCCAAGCACTTTTCTAAACAATTCAGACTTTAACCCATTTTCTCTCAATTATCTATAATCCCATTCTTGGGATTTTTAAAAATTTTATAATGCTTTAAAGTATGAAAATGTCCAAAGGCCACAATCAAGACTGTGAGGCTTAGTCTCACCTCAAAGGTTTTACAAGCTAGAACAACCCAAAGAAACTTTGAAGAAGAAGAAACAACAAGCACGATGACCTGCTGAAAGGAGACAGGGAGTGGGGCAGTTGTACCCCCCGCATCCCCTCTCTCCCCACCTTGATTCCTGCTCCACTCAAACTTTAAACAAAACTGCCTTGGAAGGGCAGTGGCAAATCTATTCAGATGGTGCTGAGAATGTCAAATAACTTCTTGGCTCATTACCATTCCCCTGATTCCTGTTAATCTCTCTCCACTCCACAAGTGTTAACAACCCTCTATCCTTTTAAATGGTCTTGCTGTTTCATTATTTAAACCAGCCTTTCTTCTGCAATTATGCTGCCTGTTAGCCATTCTGGGTAATGTGTGTCTTCTATTTTACACCCATTACTTGGGTGTGGTAATATTAACAGGTGTAGAAATGACTAAGTGAAGTATTGGAAGCACTATCAAGATGCTTAAGGAGGCTAGATTTTGTCTTATGATTGTGAATAAGGGATGTACATTTAACTATGATGACTTCAGGGCTAATGATACAATATCCTTTTGCCTAGTTTGTTGATCTTTTTAAAAAAAGTTATATATACTCTAGCAAATTAGTGCACATTCCTAAGGTGATATTTCTTTTTTTGTTTTGACCTTAAACTGAATAATATAGTGCAAGCCCCTTACCATATTTGTAAAGCTTCTAGTTTCTCTTTAGCTGGAGAAAAATGTGTTGTGCTGTAAGTGATAATGCGCCACACCCACTGCAGCCCCACTTTCAAAATCCTGGATCAGCCCATGGAAAAGGATACAGATCCCATCCACTCCTTCCACCCTCCAGCTGGTGTGCTCAACTCCTTATTATTCCATATACTCAGGGAAGTCATGAGTCTATGATAATAACATTTATATGTGTACAGAAATAATGGGAAGAGAAATGGTCTGTGAACTCCTACTGCAATCATCCTCATATAAAGCTTCACAATCTTGGCTTTAATTGCAGCAAGCTCCAATTCCATTTCCAGAGCATATGTTTCTGTAAAAGAAATTCAAAGAACAGCTTTGTCAGACTCAGGAGATGCACAGAAAGCCACATGTGCAGATTGCCAATGCCATTCATTTCATAAGGAAAACAGTGAAATGTCTGTGGAAAGGTATGTATTAAAAGCAACTGACATTGTAAACAGACATAAAAGGAGCACACTCTCGCAATCCAATTGGCACGCATCCTCCTCCCATCCTCTGAAATGCAGAATTTTATCCAGCAAGTGAAAAGCACTATGGCATTACAGTACTGCTGCCTGCTGGCTGTACACCTAACCCAGGGTTATGCACATTTATAGTCAGTGCTGCAGATGACAGAAGTGGTTTACACACACTCGAACAGTCTCCCTTCTATTAAAGCAAAGCATATGCTCAAACAGGAAACAGTGTATTTAGGCAATGGTCCAGGATCTAAACACAGGGATACAAATTCTGATCTCCCTGAAGCTTCTACCCAGTGTGCAAAAGAAACGGTTCCCTGTTTCAACCAGGAGATGGAGTCTCTTTCCATCATGCAGGAGCAGGCCTGATACTCTGATGCATGGAAAATTATCATAAAAAAAAGTTGAGAGAGTTACTCCAACTCAGAGTAACATCAAGAACATTTGGAGAAGTGGAGCAACATTT